AAGCTCCTATTTCCTCTTAGCTTCTTTCATCTAAACCCTATCTTTTGCCAATTTTCACGTGTTTCCTAATCTAGATGTGTATAAGAGACAGGTGTGAGCCTCACTGTCGATCAAAGTGTCTCAACGGAGGAGTGTGCGTCGCTCCTGACACGTGCGAGTGTCCCTCATCTTACTTCGGGGTGGCGTGCCAATTCAAGTCTTGTGGAGGAAATCCTCCGGCCGTAAACAATGGATCTTTCCCTGGAAAGTGAGAACAGACAGACTGCACTTCTGTTTTACTACCTGTATTCGTTCATTGTGAGCTCGTAAATTAAATATTGAAGTGAAAGTTTGGCAACCAATAGCTCTATATAGGAATAGATAAGAATCAGCCCTGGCTCTAGATATTGACTTCTTGTCGTATTTCTAATCGATTAACGCATGTTAAATAACCGTGTTATTACATTCAAGTATCAACGAAGCACTTCGACCCTACATTTGTCCTGAAGTATAAATACTATTTGCATGCAGGGATTTCTTCACGCCGAGAACACTTCAGTGCAACCAACAGTTCAAAGAAGCTACCGCTGGCATTAAAGTCGTTTGCACCGAGGGTAAATGGACCATTGATCCCATAGCTACACTATCGGACTTCTGTATCCCCGTATGCGACCCTGAATGTATCAATGAAGGAGTTTGCTCAGCGCCCAATATTTGTACGTGCCCTCCTGGATACTTTGGCAGCTCGTGTCAGTTTCCGAGTTGCACCGATCAGATTCAAGTTCAAAACGGGCGAGTTAATATGAGGTGAGGAAGCTGTTATTTAAATGTTACATTTACGTAAGCGTTTACGTGCGTCAGAGTAGTGATGTTTTATCAAGTTTATTTATACATTTGTTTAATTACCGTTCATCATAGGATAAACATTGCTTGAACGCTGGCTCAAAGTATTGTTGAATTCAAAGAAGAAAAATTATGATCCTAAAATTATTAAATTCATAGGAATTCTCATATTATCCGAGCACACGCTTGTCATTTCTCCAGTTCACCTTCAGTTGGTCAACTTCTCTGTGATACCGGCTACGTGGTTCAGAACTCGTCCAGCCCGTCCGCTGGTCTAACCTGCACTTCTGGGACTTGGATCATAAACGGAACAACTTCGACATTAGGCGCCGAATCCTGCTTTCCCTACTGCCAAAAACCTTGTCTCAACGGGGGCACCTGCATTCAACCCAACACTTGCCTGTGTACCCCCGACCACTTCGGGTCCAACTGCGAATTCCTTTCATGTAATTCGTCAGACTTCAACGTACCAAACGGGGCTTTTGTTGGCAAGTGAGTTTTTCCTGTGGAAGCTCTCAGTGTGTTAATTATTTATTTCATGCCATTGCACGCTTTGAGATGTTTCACTTATGAAATTTATGCATCGTACTGCTTCCTAATAATTTCCGTTAATACGTAAATCATAGAATACGCTTCCGCAAAATTAGATCACTATCAAATGTTTTATCCTGGGCACTGCTGCAATAATAACGAGACACTCGTACGCTAGTACCAGTGGTTTTGACGTTCATCTACCATATAGTCAGTTCCTAGCTCTAGCCTGACCGCTCTCAGGTATTCAGATCGCAATATTCAATGTACCTCATTTGTACAATAACCGGTCCTATAAAACGCATAAATTCAATTTTGAATCAAGTGGAAAAGGAAAAAAAAAAGAAATTTCACTTACCAAATTCATCATAATTCATAACGGATCAAATAATAATTGTTTTACACTATTCCATTACCCTATTCCATTGCTTCTCAAAAAAGTCCTCCTCTCAAGCGTCTGCTACATGTGTATTTATACAACACTGCTCCATTTCCCCCCTCAGTGACAGCTTCAGCCCCCGAAACCTGACGTGTTACGATGGCTACCTTCGTGCTGTGGGTGATGACGTGGTCCTGGTGTGTGATGACGGCAAATGGGTGGTGAGGAATGCTGGTCCTGCTGCTGCACTGTGTGTCCCAAAATGTCTCCCTGCATGTCGCAATGGAGGTCGATGTGTCAGTCCTGATGTCTGCGAGTGTCCACATCCATACTACGGAGAAGCCTGCGAGTTTAGGTCTTGTGTCGACCAAATTCCCGAGGTAGAAAATGGACACTTCACTAGCAAGTGAGTCATGAATAATCATGTGGAATCTCTTTGTAGAATGTTATTGATGTACTCGTAAGCATATTTATTGTGTTGACTGTCAATAAATCTCAAATATTTCATCAAATTCAATAACCTGTAACCACTCATTAATAATAAATTCTTAAGTATTTTTAGAGTTGTTAATCTTCCTCCAGGAATTTAAGTTCGCCCATAACATTGGTCTGTGATGATCAGTACGAGCCTGCGACTCAGGGACATACTTTGGGATGCCTCAATGGAATTCTGATGAAAGATTCTCTCCAAAACAACTCTAGGGTTTGCGTTCCAATATGCGAACAACCTTGCCTCAACGGGGGAACTTGCACGCATCCCAACGTTTGTCAATGTCTTGATGACTTTTTTGGATCGACTTGCCAGTACCTTGAATGTACAGACAAGTTGAATATAAGTCACGGTACATTTACCATGAGGTGAGGCGTCCACGGTATACTTGAGATTTTGTATGATTCGGAATATAGAGATTACCAATGATACCAAAAGCAAGTCTGATTTACATGCATTTTTATAAGTGATACTTTCTGTTTGATGGCGCTGTGTTTATTTGAATTTTGATTCTAATGAATTGCATAGATTTTCCTTCACTTGCCAGTGCTATAAACTACTGTCGCGATCACGATCACTGAATTTCTGAAAGAGGATTCTTTTCATCACAACTGCATTTCTTCACCACTGCGTTTCATCACCAATGCGCTTCATCAACAATACGTTTCATCACCAATGCGCTTCATCACAAATGTGTTCCATCATCAATACGTTTCATCATCAATACGTTTCATCACAAATGTGTTTCATCACCACAGCGTTTCATCACAAATGTGTTTCATCACCAATACGTTTCATCACAAATATGTTTCATCACCAATGTGTTTCATCACCATAGCGTTTCATCACAAATGTGTTTCATCACCAATGCGCTTCATCACAAATGTGTTTCATCACCAATACGTTTCATCACCACTGCGTTTCATCACAAATATGTTTCATCACCAATATGTATAATTCGTCTCTCGAGCAGCGACTCGGATGCCGGCCTCTTGACTTGTGACGACAAATACTTGGTTTCTGGCACGACTTCACAAGCCAGTCAAATGCGATGCTTGTCACAGTCCTGGAAAATAACGAAGTTAGACGTTCCAGTGCCGGGCGCGGAGGTGGAGTGCATTCCGCACTGTGCATTTCCATGCCTGAATGGCGGAAATTGTACGGCTCCGGACACATGTTCTTGTGCTTTGGGATTCACAGGGAAATCTTGTGAAACTCAAATCTGTTCACTGGAAGGAGACGGATACGTGGTAAGGAAGTGATATTAGGAACTTTACCTTTTCAAGTCTTATAGATTATTTAAATTAAAGCTGAAAATCATTATTGGCCATTAGTTTTGAATACTTTAGGCTACATCGGACCTAATAAATTATTAGAATGTCAGGGTTAGTAGCCATTAGCCAATTTATGAGAGGAAAAATGATACCTTGGATTTACATCCAAGAAAACAGCTTGAAATTTCTAACTGGATTTCTTTCAGCTTGCGACTTTTGTTCCACAAATTTTGATTTAGAATTTGGAGAGCTAAATTTCAACCTCAATGAATCCGCTCAGAGGAAAATAATAACTTTTACAATTTTTACTTTTAACTTTTGCAATTTATTGAGAACATTCAATCACATCCAAATAACTTTTCATTAATATTATTTTTCTGATAATTTATTAAGTATAATGTAAATCTTAAAGTATAATATTTAGTCAAATTCCATGACTCCAAGGTGGAGACTCATGAGGACGGGCCGAGTATGTTGAAGTGCGCGGAAGGCAAATTCCTACACGATGATGTGAGCGACGCTCCCGCGATTTGTTTAAACGGAACTTGGGTGTCGGACGATGACAGTCCGGTCGCGCTGGTGTGTCGGGAGGGCTGCGCGATGCCATGCCTACATGGAGGAGTGTGTGTTGGCATTGACATGTGTCGATGTACTCCGGAGTATTACGGAGAACATTGTGAATATGCCAAGTGTCCCACTGTCGAGGTGCTCAATGGAGTCTTCGATGAACAGTGAGTTCATCAAACTCATCGTTTAGTGGTCAATAAATTATAGCTGCATGATAATAGATCATTCTGTAGTGATTGTTCTGAGTTTTGTGTGAACAGAATTCTACTTATTGTAATATGTGATCTGATGCAGCTTTTCGATAATTTTAGCTCGTTGCGGAAAATCTATTGATATCTATTTTGCAGTGAAGAGATGAAAAAGTACTTGGATGTTGATTAGCTATTAATTAAACTTAGATGGCATCCAAATTTCTGTTAGTTAACGTGTAATATCTGATCTAATTCAGCTTTTTCTTTAATTTTAGCTCGTTGCATAAAATCTATTTATCTCTTTTACAGTGAAGAGATGAAAAACTACTTGTGCGTAGATTAGCTATTAATTAAACTTAGATGGCATCCAAATTTCAGTTAGTTGACAAGTATATGTCGTCATTGCCAATAATTCTTCCTTATTTCCTCGTCGCAGCAACGACTCCTCGGCCACACTTACGTGCAACGAAGGCTTCATTGCGATCTCTGGCGACGAAGCCGTAGAGTTAGTTTGCGTGGAAGGAAAGTGGACGCCATCTGGAATAGAAAACTCATCTTCTTTGTTGGGATCAAACCTAACAAACGGTTAGCCGATTTTGACTACTTAGAACAAAAGTGTAATAAATTTCGTACAAATAATTCCCAAGTATTATTCTTCAAAGTATTACGTAACATCACAAGCCTCAAAATTTAGAATCCCTGCAGATGACACTAAAGATGTTTATATAAAATTAATTTATCACCGCAGTATCCCTCTTTACAGAAGTTCCCCAATAGACCATTACTAATTAATTATCATGGAATTCTATATAATCATAATGAATATATACAATGAAATAATTATATATCATAGAATTCTATATAATTCTAAGGAATATATACAATTAAATTATTATATATCATGGAATTCTATATGATTGTGAGGAATATATGCAATTAAATAATTATATATCATGTAGTTCTATATAATTATAATGAATATATGCAGGGTGAACCAGAATTAAGTAACCCTTTTAATTTGTTAATAAATAAAAAACTAAGAACGTTATGAAGTTGAAACTTGTTTTATTTAAAAGAATAATTATATATCATGTAATTCTATATAATTATAAGGAATATATTTAATTGAATAATTATATATCATGTAATTCTATATAATTATAAGGAATATATGCAATTAAATAATTATATATCATAGATTTCTATATAATTATAATGAATATATACAATTAAAGAATTATATATCATAGAATTCTATATAATTAAAAGGAATATATACAATTAAATAATTATATATCATGGAATTTTATATAATTATAAGGAATATATATAATATCTGGCGTCCCGTAGCCACCAGTTCCGACATGCCAGCGGCAGGCGACGAAGCTTTGCAGTGCAGCAGCGCGTGCCCACAGGGATGCCTGAACGGCGGCGAGTGCGTCGCAAAACAAACTTGTAAATGCGCTCACGGCTTCACGGGACCTTCATGTGAACTCAAAGAATGCGGGGACGAAAAGATCCAAAATGGAGCTATAAAATTGAAGTAAGTTTTTTTTCGTTCAAGATTCGAATCCTCCCCCTCTCCACCCGCCTTACGCGTCGATCCCTTGATTCCCTCTTTATTTCAGAATGCAAAAGGTTTCCTTTTGGCATTCGGGCTATATTTTTTAAAAATAATTTCCGCTCTGTCGTTGGATCGTAAGTGCGGTTATCACTTGTAATTTATAGTAATATGCCAATTATTTCAATCAGCATTGGTAACATGGGGTTTCTTTTCCATGAATGTTCAATGACATTAGAACTCGATATAATTGCCGATCTGCAGTTGGAAATATTTTACGTGTTTTATTTATAGCATTTTTTATGTTGAATCGTCGTGTGATCATTCTGTTAGTAGTTCATTCTTTTTTTCAGTTCGTAAGCTCACCATCGTAAGCGGCTCACTCACTAACCGTTCGATACACGGCAAAATTTCACTACTGTAGCAGGGCACCTACTCGAAATTGATTTAAAATTCACGTGCAGACGTAGTTGGCAAGTAGCCTGACTTTCATTCATGCGGCCTGTTACTGCATGAAAAGTAAAGAGTGTTAAATGAAAAGGTTAGAAGCATGTCTTCAACGGTATCAAGATCATTGAACTGCATTAGCACCACTAGGCTAATATTAAATTTTAGCCGCTAATATGCAGCATTTGTTGAATTTTCTCTTTAAGTGTTCATAATCATCGCGATAAGGAATAATTCTGTTCAAATTCAAAGTTTGCCGCTCAGCTGACCAGCAGCGTGGAGTATGGCAATAGCGGCGTTTCGTTTTCTGATTATAGGATGTGTCTGATGATGAATATTTTTCTGAAGTAAAACATACGTACCTCAAAACCGTTCATGTCTACGAATGTGTTCTCAGATCACTCGTACCACGAGTTGGGAAACTATTGATAATAAACTGTATGGAGTTGCACAGTCAGGCTTCGGTCGGTAACGTTTGGAATAAGACATTCTATTTATTATTTATTATTATTATTCTATTTTCCAGCAACATCTCAGCTGAAGTGATCTGCGATGCAGGATACTTCTTGCCCAACGGAAATGCATCTTCTCCAGCCGAGTGCAAAAATGGTAATTTAACTGCTTGAAACTTATAGAAAAGTATAGAAAACTGAGTGAGAATGAACTGGAAGTCTGTATGAAACGGTTATCAATGAAATCCTTTGCATTGTAGAAGAAAGAATGTAAGTTGATACGAGAATCGAAACAAATCTTGCGCTTGCAAAGGATGATTCGTAAAACAATAATTTAGTTTTTTATCATCAGCAGATATTTCTTAAACTCGAATTCATCGATAGATTTATGACAATTCTTATGCCGCTTTTTAGCTGAATAGATCGTCCCCTGCATCACTATTACATATCTCACCTCTGAATATAGTTCATATGTACTTTCCCTCACTAACTTTAATAAGGAAATTACTGGCCACACAAGTACTAATCCATCTGCATAGATGGTTAAGAATATACTAGTATCAGATAAAAAGTATATACAGTTGTAGATAAAAATTATAGGGAACGTAGAAACTTAATTAATCACCCAATGCGATTATTTTTATAAATAATACTTTAGAATGATGGTCTTATTATAATTACAAGAACCTCATCACAAGCTTTCACATAATTACAAGCAATAATGATTCATTTTTCATGATATTTGTCCGCTTTTCGTATAGTTTTTTGTGTAGATTTCATCATAGCCTAAAAATTTGGTTCGGGGTATTCCAAAGAAATATGTTCATTGGTTTTTAATAAAATCGGTACTTGAAACATATATTTTGATCGATGCTCCTATTGCAGGACGTTGGGAACTCCCCGATATGCCAGAGGACTCACCACCCACGTGTTCCCTCGGGTGCAAGGAAGCCCCTTGCCTCAATGGAGGCGAGTGCGTCGGACTTCAGGAGTGTCGGTGCCCGCAGGGTTACGATGGCAGTCAGTGCCAGAATAAATTATGAGAAAGTGTAGTTACTTTTCCAGAAAGGATCAATTTGTATGACGTCATATAAATAATCTGACTCCCACAGCAACATAAGCGTGTTGAATCTCTCATATGAAAGGTTCTCCATGAAATTATACGTTACGAACACCTCTCTTATGATCTTATGATGAGTTTAGGACGTCGTAGTCCACGGTCACGCTGATGCGCCGCCTTCGTCGTCCTCCGTCTCCGAGTCGTCGTCGGATGTACTGTTGGACGTGTTCCGTCTATTTGCCCTCCTTTGGGCCACCTGATGCAAGATGCTGTTGCTTGTTACTTGTACACTCTCTCATACACTTGATTCAGTCCTCAACACAATGTACAGGAATGGGACGGCGAGGGTGGACTGTTTCCAAGGCTACCAGGTTCCGGAGGTGTGGACGTCAGCAGATCTCGAGTGTCACGATGGCCAATGGATGGCATCGAACAACCTCGGGGGCTACGAACAGCCTATCACGTGCATCCCTGGTTTGTGCAATAGAAATGCCAGAGGATTTTTAGCACGTTTTCTCATTTATGGAAAAAATGCCCTATTGTGCTAGTCATGTCCGTCCGTCTGTCTGTCCGTGACTTCACGTTTTCGTCGACGAAAAAATGCGCTCTCTGTCACTCACTGCAGTGTGTACTGAGTTATATTTTTTAAAGATATGGTCAAAGGCCAGTTTTTTTATCTCCTGTAAGCAAGTCACGAAAATTATATGAATCGGTGTAGGGCCAAACTTGACCTATTCTTTAGCGCCTTCAACTATACGATACTGTAATATACTATACTTTCGCTATATGAATCGGTGAAGGGCTATAATTAGCCTATATCCTTTAGAGTTTTGCGCCTATAGTACGATACTGTAATAGAATAGAAGTGTCGGCGTTGAAGAAATAGGCCCATGGCCTGTTATATACTACCTATACTATATGTTATATACTATACTATATAATATAACATGGCCTGTTATATTATATACTACTAATATACTCTAATATCGTTATTTACAGTATGCTCACAACGCTGTCTAAACGGAGGCTACTGCAGTTGTCCAGAGACGTGCCGGTGTACGCCAGAATTCACAGGACCAACTTGCGTCAATCGCAAATGCTCGTTCCCTCCGCCAAATGTGGAAAACGGGAAGCTTGGAAGCCAGTTAGTGATGCGGCTGATTGAATTAACATTTTCTCTACACTCACAAGTTCAGAGTATGTGCTGCTCTTACAGAATTCACGGCTCTATTTCGAAGTATGTGCAAAATCCTATTGGTGTCTGACACCATCATCAAGATGCAAAGTCAAATTCACCGAGACGAGCGAGAATGGAGAAAACGCGATAAGAAATAGTTCATACGCAGTTACTTGAATCTACAAGCTGCTCCGCAATTTAGTCTACTGACTCTACGATTAGAACAATGCAGCACGTTGACATATACTGATCCTATTATAACTTTAATTCCTTGCTTTGGCTAACATTGCTGCGTATGACAGACCCGACGAGTACCCGTACGCTACTGAAGTCTCGTGCCAGTCTGGCTTCTTCCTGCCTTCTGGGGCTGCGACCAGCACGCTTTTCTGCTCCGATGGCACCTGGAAATTGAAGGGAAATGACGCCTGGAACGGGGCGACCAGCATCGCCTGTGCTAACGGCTGTCCTCTGGGCTGTCGCAATGGGGGCGTGTGTAACGGCGTCGGTCGGTGTTCCTGCCCGACTGGATTTGAAGGCCAATATTGTGAGCGGCCAACATGTCTTTTGCCCAGCGCTGGGCTTCTTAATGGAGTCATTATCAGAAGGTAAGATAGCGGAAGGGAATAAAACGTTGAGTTGTTTACGCAACTAGTGTTTATACGACTGATATTCTTCTAAATCTAACTGAAGTAAACGAGAAAGAGCCAGTTACTAATCAACTAGCTCTGATTAAACTTCCCGGAAGATGTTACTTTAAAATATATTAGAATTCAAACGGAAGAACGTATTTCCAGCCAATTTAGAAAAATGAGAAGTTAAAATTCTTCCATATTCATTCAAAATAACTCAGAAGTCCCATGAAAACCTTCATGACTTACACCCCGGCTGTGTCATCATCTAAAATTTCAATTAAAAATTTTAATTGCATGCAGTTTCTGCGGCCTGAACTGGTTGCTTTCTGTAAGACCTTTGGGGGCTGAGAAAAAGGATTTACACTTACCAAATTAGCTTGCAATAATATATCTTTTCGTAAATCATGCATAAAAAATTGAAATATTACGAGGTAACGAGTATTCTTGCAAGCGTTGTCGTGCAGTTTCGACGAGGTCGGGGAATACCAGCTAGTGTGCGAGGCCAATCATAGACTAGCGACAGGAGAGTCCCGCGTTCCTGTCAAATGCGTCAACTCAAAATGGCAACTTGCGTCTCCGGCACCACGTCCGTCATCTCTGCGTTTACCATCCGCATCGCCGAAGCAAGAGGTAGATCCTGTCTTGAGTTGCCTGCCCGTGTGTAACCCGGTCTGTCAGAACGGTGGGGCATGCATTGGCCCTGGGGTCTGTTACTGCAAGAAACCTTTCTATGGGGAACAGTGCCAACACAGGGTTTTCCTGTATGCCGCCACCCGGTCCATGACAGCGGAAAAACCAAGGGGCAAAATAGGGTGCGTGCTTCACAGACCTCATCAAGCTATATATTTTCGTATTGTTGAATGATTAGCTTGGAAAATAGTTTCTAGTTACTCCCGACTGATTGATTTTTTTCAATTCTGAAACATTTTTGTCTCTATTTTAATGCAAATTATGAGTTAACGTGACTATATTTGCAAGTCGGTTAGATAAATTTTCAGTTGATACATAACATTGAGCTCGTACATTTTAAATTCCTCATAAGCAATGCTTAGTAAGTGATAAGACAAAAACCTCTCGCTAAATGATATGATTTTGCTAGAAGATTTCCATATTCATCTCATATTTGTGTATTTCTTGTTGCAGGCGCTTCCAAATGACAATTAAGTTCCCCCTCAAGGCACAGGCCGGTAAAGCATGACAGGCAACTATCCATGCTAGAATCTCGCACGAACAACATGTGATATAGGTGCGCCAATATATTACTTTTTCAAGAGATTAGTTTTAATTTCCTCTAATATACTAGTAGGAAAATCCGGCAATAGTAATGGAATCGACAAATTATTGAAAAATGTAAACGGAGGTGCAAAATCCAAAAATATATTTCCTTCAATTGTCAGTTAAATTTATCTCGACATGGCTGCCCTATCATGATAGCAAACAAAGATTAATACATTTATTTTAAAAAATATGACGACCTAGTGAGTCTTCACGTCACACAAAAACTAGTAATCAATGTTTACACCTCATAATTATACTAAACAGATCTACTGAAGTGTTAACACCGAGTAAAAAAGTCGAGGATACGACTTATTTGATTTAAAATTATTAAAGATTCTACATAAACCTCAATCCCAGGACTCAGTGGCATTGGAACTCCAGCCAGCAGCAAGTTGATCGATTTGAGGCGTTGTATTTTTTCTCACGTCTGCTGCCTGATCAAGCGAACGATCTTCAGTACAATCCATATTTTCTCCTCCCTCTTGGAGCGCTTCCTTGGAGCTACTGCATCGGGCCAGGAAATATGCCTCTGGATAACATACTAATCCAGGCACTTGAGATTCTACGGCCTCAGGTCTATCGAGACTGCCAGCAGTTGAACAATTATCCGTTTTGTGTTGACATTGTTTCATTGATTCAGTCTGATAAGCTTCAGGAAAACATACAACATTCGAAGACCCTGATGCTTGGTCAGTTGAGGTATTTGATTTTAGAACGCTTTTAGGAATAAACCTGCGCCTGCGTTTGGTGGGTGGTAGAATAGAATCGCAGGAGTCGTCGACAATGTTGCTGGCTGCATAGTTCCCTAGCACAAGCCAGTGCTCTATGGGCACCAAGCTGATCCTGTTGAAATAATTTCCAGTGTTATTTATGATTGTGTGGAATAAATAGATTCCAAGGTAAAAAATTTACCAAAATTTCATTTCAGGACAGAAAATAATTGTCAACACGATAATTCAATACACATAAGTGTAGATATCAACTGAGATGAATTCGTTCGTGTTAAAAGAACGAGAAAAATGAACTGTTCAAAAATTACTTGACTTGAAGTTCGTATTTAAATTAAAGAGATCGGACAGCTGATGGAAAACACGAAGCAACTATCAAATAAATAAAATTGATCTCGTTTTTAAACTGATTAATTCCTATGAAATCTCTTCGCCACTTACTTGGCATGAGGGTAAAATTTGTTCACCATTTCTTGGAACTTTGTCATAGTGTTGGCCGACAGGCGGTAGGCACCGTCCATTGGAAAACAAACGACCTCGACGTTCTCATCCGCCACTTCTTGAACGCATTTTATTGTGTCTGAATCTTCCGAGATGCTTAGATTCCTGCATGCCACTTCAGTCTGTCTAGGTTCAAGTTTTGCAGACGTCTCATCAATTGCGTCAGTTGGCCTGTGACCGAACGCAACTGCTGATACCGAGTGAATTCCGGTTAATTCGAAACTATTTTCGCTAGGCAATAAATTATTCAGAGCCTCTGCGTCATTTGTACGTTTTTCGGTATAATCTTCATGAGTACGTAAATCGGACAATGTCCTGTCTCTTACTGCACCATATTTTTGGTCAGAGGTACATGGTTCGAGTTTTGTTTCATCATCATTGTTGCCGAGAATGGGACACTTAGCGCCTACATCGCCTCCTGTTTCTTTCACGAACTCGTAGTCGCTCTCGTGAACGGGACTTATCGGAAGGATTTTTTTCTCGATATTTTCGGCAAGTGAAGCCTCATCCTGCCTGTGGACATGTGAGACGGGCTTGATGGGCTTCTTGTTGCTGGTGAGGATGTAGATGATGCCGAGGTCTTCGTCAGCACGCCAATCTACGTACTGGACGCGGTAATCTAAAAATGGACACAAGCAAATTAATTTTATCTAATAATGGATACAATAAAATTAATTGTAATTCAACATAAAATTGATAATCAATCAGCCACGTAAGCTTTAGTACTAATATAAGATCTAACGTTATGATTCTACTATTATCAATAAATTTACAATTAATCAGCCACATCAGCTTTATTATTAAAATAAGATCTAAAGTTATGATTCAACTGTGATCAACAGGCATCATACCTTCACACAGAGACATGTAGAGTCTGAAACTGCGGCCAATTGATGTCTCTGAACAGCATTTGGTCGCCAGCATCTCATTCAACTGTAAAATAAGTTAGATTAAAATAATTTTAGACGCAGGAAATTATTGCTATGCCACATATGTCGGATTTTGTATTGGGCCACATTCCGCACAGCATCTCACCTGCTAGCAGATAAAAGATAAATCTATGTGAAATTCGTCACAAAATTTGCTTCCTAGTAATGAAAAAAAATTCTTGACATAAAACGCAATAAAAAATTCAAAACTATCCCCATAATGATTATATAATGAACAATATTTTCATAATCGTTACCTATTGAAATTCTGACAAATGAATTTTACATCGACATTGTCAAGATTTGCAAGGGGTTTTCCACTCTTATCTTAATTTCCTTTTACTCACTCCTCGGTCACAATACTCACCACAGGATGGTTGAGATACGAAGTCATGTCCGCGAGACCGATAGCCGGTCAGCTGCAGCCTCTCTCAACCTATTTTATACTTGAACGAAACATAATTATGCTTAATTTCTCATGGCTGCCAGGCTGAATGTGGTCACTTTTAAACGCAAGCGAACTTTGGGAAAATGCTCGAGTTCAAATTTGTTCACCTTTAAACGCAAATTTGCTAATATGCTTAACTTCTCACCTCAAACGCAATAAAGCTATGCTTTTGATTCAAAGCGATCACCTTTACCAAACTTTACAGATACAGTATAAGGTTAAGCAGATCAACTTTATTTCCTATAGCCTAGTCCGTTAATTTTTAAAAAAATTGTACAAGAAGTACGTTAAAAATGAATAATGGAGTAAATTAGTATGACTTCAACGACGAAGATCTAAAATTAAAAATAATAATTTGATTAAATTGAAGTAAGTCTCGCAATTAAGCTCGGGCTGCCCGGGGTACGCAACGTCCCCCAAGAAACTGCGATGAGGATACCACACTCATCGCGGCATCCCCCTGGGGGTCCGTATAAACGAATGATTTCTAGCGCATTTTCTCATTTATGGAAAAAATGCGCTATTGTGCTCGTCATGTCCGTCCATCTCTTCGTCCGTCTGTCTGTGACTTCACATTGTCGTCGATTTTGAGAAAATGCGCTCTTTGTCACTCACTGCAGTGAGTACTGAGTTATATTTTCTAATAATCGTAATGCCAAAGATGATTTTATGCTGTATTTTGGGGATGAAGTAAACAACAAATTCATTTCTTCTTGCCTTTACTGACTACCTGAACAGTGGCTTGTATTTCATCAACACGCGATAGAAGCTCTTCCTCCGAGTAGGTGAAATTCGACTTTTTCCAAATCTCAAAAAGTTCTTTGGTCACGAGACGAGTTTTCCTTTTGTCGTCTAGTTTAGCAACCAAGGCTCCACCGCTGACAGGGAACACTGGCAGAACCCAGTCCCTGAATTCCTCCAGCATCTTCATCTGGCATGAGTACTTGAGAAGTTCTTCGACGCGTTGCCTCGCCAATTTGTCATAAACTTTCAAGTCTATCACGAGGTCCGCCAATAGGTCCTGGACTATTTTAACGTCTTTGGCTGCGATAACGGCATCACGATTATCTAAGATAAAAATCAAAAGCTCGCGCTCTTTTTTTGAACACTTGACGCGCGCGATGAAATTGAATGCGTCGTCGGCGTTAGAAAATCCCGCTGCGATGACAGTCATGGGCGACAACTCGCGCGTGTCCACACCACACGAAGAGCATCGATCGAACAAAGACTTGCACGCCAAGCCAGAGAAGTCATCAGGCAGGCCAATGTAGGGGCCAAGTTTACAATCGACCATTTTCTGGAGTAGTTCTCCACCGTAGTTGCCAGTGACGATCTTCTGCAACTCAGTCCAAATTCTCTCTCCTGATATTCGACTGAGGCCTCCAGCATTACGAGTGATGGATTCTAGAACAGATTCAGAATGATCATCAGGAGACTTGGCGATGCGTCCGTAGAAACGGAAATACCGCAATATTCGTAGGTAATCTTCTTGTATGCGAGTGTCGGGGTCACCCACGAACTCAACTCTATGCTCGTCAAGATGGCGCTTGCCATCAAAGTAATCATATACGGTGCCGTCCATGCCCATGAACATGGAATTAATAGTAAGGTCACGACGATTGGCGTCTAAATACCAATCTTTCGTGAAACGCACCACTGCATGGCGACCATCTGTCTTGATATCAATTCGTAATGTGGTGCACTCGAAGTTCTCATCGTCTATCCTGGCCGTGATGGTACCGTGTTTCTCGCCGGTCTCATTGATCATACGCACGCCTTCCTCTTCGAACATCTTCTTCATCTCGTCAGGGGTGGCAGTTGTCGCGAAATCCAAGTCATGAGGAACAAGGCCACTCAAAAGATCCCTCACAGCACCTCCTGCCACCCTCAGCTCGTGTTGATGTTTGGCAAAGATGCTGGAGAGCTGCTGAACGGCCGGCCGCAGCACCAGCGACAGCTCAGCGTCCGAGACTTTCATCGTGTACAACTGAAATGAGAAATATTGACAACTATACCAAAATATTTCATCACGGTCATTAAATATTATAGTGCAAAGATGCTTCATGAGTAGTCGCTTTCCTGCCTTGCTAAATTTTTCCTTAATTTTTTCGGACAAATTCGCCGATTTAGTTTTTTGAATTGCGTTGGCAGGGGAAAACTTATGATGGCTTTAATTTCTTATTAAATTGTAAATAGTACGAAAAAAATAAAATGTAATTTTTATACCGGAACCTTCAGATATACTAATATATATTGAGTTATAGGCCTTTTTTGTACGCGGACTTGGCCGTTTTTAGCACATTTTCTCATTTATGGAAAAAACGCACTATTGTGCTCGCCATGTCCGTCTGTCTGTCCGTCCGTGACCTCAAGTTTTCGTCGACGAGAAAATGCGCTCTCTGTCACTCACTGCAGTCAGTACTGAGTTATATTTTTTGCTGATTTTGCGACTCGCCCTACGTTCTGCTTCACGTTTGGCGAGTAGTCTGGCCCGCATGGGCCAAACGTCAAACTGCATGGCCTACATTACATTTGTCGACACTGTTGTTCTGGTAATTTGTAGTTTAGCAGGCGATGATTATTTATTAACGGAGGTATAGGTTATTGAGATAGATTCATGCATCAATTTATGATAGTTTGCATAATATGTGAAGTGATACGAAATGATGCTAACAAAGACTACTCCATCATATACTGTACATAAGAGAAATACTTTATTTTTGTACAGTATACCGCGTCCAGCTGTACGTACTTTACAAATTAAGCCCGCCACCTCGTCTCATTACAGAGACCTGTTACCGATATGGATGCTCGACAATAATTATTGTATCATAAGTTTATCAGTTAACATTTGTTGAGAATTTCCATAAAACCCACTTCAACTCTATGATCATCACGGGTGCTCAGTACCGCAATTATTTCTGAGTATGTGTCATAGTCTTGAGGGGAGGAGCATGTAAGTCAAAAATCGGAAATTTTGGATTTTCCGGTTTCTTGGCTGCTCATTTGTAGCTGCTAAAAAAGCGCGTTTAAAGCAGCAATTCGCATGTATGTGCGTGCTCTAGTTTTTACGTAAAGAAATTCCAAAATAATATAAAATGAACATTTTTTAACAATATGTACTTAGATTTCTATAAATTGAATCTGTATTTATAGATCATTAGGCTCCTTAGTTGCAAGTGTTCGCACTTGTTTGATAGCTACAAACAAGACGTGTTCAACAAAGCAAATACCAAGGATGTACATGCAATAATTTTTGTGTAAGGCTGTTTTTACCTTTTGAAAATAACTATTTTATAACGATACTTACAAATTTTCATTTAAAATGGTATGTATAGACCATTATTTGCATTAATTGCAAAGTGTTTGCACTCGTTTGAAAGCTACAAACGATGAGCGTTCAGGAAAACAAATACCACGGATGTACATGCGATGTTTTTTGGGTTAGACCGTTTTAAACTTATGTTAAATAAGCATTTTTTATTTGTATTAATGTAAAAAAGTCACAGTAAGTGTACAGACGCGTGCTGGTACCCTAAATGCAACCAATTGGCACTGGGAACGCTTGGGCTAATATATCAAGCAATTTTTTTGGCATATTCTTATTTTTTCAACAAATTTTACTTATTTGGCTCTCCTGAACAACTAAAATTTCCATATTACGCCATCTTAAGAATTTATCCCCTCCGATGATTTTCAAGCTACAGCATTGAGAGAGGTACCATTCGATTTGTAAATAAAATCTCTATAGAGCATCAGGCCATTTCATTCGATTTTTATTTTGTTTTGATTATATATTGAAAAAATGGGGGGAGGGGTAAAAACTAAACAAATCAGAAAAAAAAATAAAAAAATTAAGGAACGATCTTTAGATATGGTTTTTACGCATCGAACGATATGTCTCTCGATGTTGAAGCTTGAAAATCCTAAGAGGAGATAGATTTCTAAAGTACCCCTTTTTCCGTTTTTTATGAATTTAACGTTTTCTTTAATTTTTTCAAAAAATTTGCATAAACAAAAATGTCATTGATTTATATTTTACATATGTGCACCAAGTTTCATAATGATCCGTTCGTAAATAAAAAAGTTTTTTTAGGACCGACATGCTCCCCTTAAATTTACTAGTTACGCTTCAGTTTAAAATTGGTTTTGTTGAATTTTTGTCGGTATCAGTCAGTTACTAATTGATTGCTTCAAACTAAAAATTGTAGATGTGTTCTGGTATGCTCTGTTTAATTACGCCTTAAAAGCTGGTAACCTTCTATAAGCGGGAGTGATCCAAAAAGCTGACAATCATCTTTCAAGATTTTGAATCTTCAAAACAATTTTAAAGGAGAGACCTAAACTGAAGTCTAATACGAAGACAATAATTCATAAATCTTTCATGTCGACAGTCACTATCTTGTTTTTAGGTCGAAACTGAATTTGATTACAAATCTTGCTACCGATGGTATAATTACTGTGTTCGCTGGCTCGTACTATAGGCTACCACTACAATCTGAACATACACCAAATCTAAACGCTATGCACCCTCAAGGGGACATTTGTCGTGTGGTTCCTGTCAGAAGTCCGATATTATTTTGCTTCCCGATGGCATTGTTCCTGAGCGCTCCACCACTGAGCTCGCGGTGTGAGAACTCTTGTTCGAGTGTCTTCCTTTCTGTTGCTTTTCACCTGTCCCTCCTTGTCACCTGCCCCTCCTTGCCAACTGTCCATCNAGATCTACATCTATGTACATCTACAGAATCAAAAGTTTCATTTATTTGCTCCATAGATCTACATCTATGTACATCTACAGAATCAAAAGTTTCATTCAATTGCTCCATAGATCTACAACTATGTACATCTACAGAATCAAAAGTTTCATTTAAGTAATCCTTAGACCTACATCTATGTTCATCTACATCTGTTAAACTCCTTTAATTACGTACTCTGGGAGATGTACTCTTGTGCCTACAGCTCCTGCATTGAAGATGTAATGTAAGTGTACTCCGGAAATGTATAAGAAGTATTTCTGATAAAGATAATAAGTACTCTATTTTTAGCGCATTTTCTCATTTATGGAAAAAATGCACTATTGTGCTCGCCATGTCCGTCCGTCTGTCCGTCCGTCCGTGACTTCACGTTTTCGTCGACGAGAAAATGCGCTCTCTGTCACTCACTGCAGTGAGTACAGAGTTATATTTTTTCCATAAGATCATGCAGGTCGCAATATTCCATATACGGTTTATCTAAGTTCACCAAATCTTTCCTACAATTTCGGCCCCCACAGAAGTGACAAAAACTTATCCAAATAAAGATGAACTTTTTATTATTCAGTGGGCCTACCTGAACTAACTTGGCCCGGCAAAAGAGCGTATTACTTCTACGTTCACTCTCTGCTCGTAATATGGATAAATAAATATAACTCAGTACTCGATCACAGCAGTGAGTGACAGAGAGCGCATTTTCTCGTCGACGAAAACTTGAGGTCACGGACAGACGGACGGATAGACAGATGGACGGACGGACAGACGGACATGACGAGCACAATAGGGCATTTTTTCCATAAACGAGAAAATGCGCTAAAAATAAATCTAAGTGCTCACTGCAGTGAGTGACAGAGAGCGCATTTTCTCGTCGACGAAAACATGAAATCACGGACAGACGGACGGACAGACGGACGAACAGACAGACGGACAGACAGACGGACAGACGGACGGACAGACGGACGGACATGACGAGCACAATGGTGCATTTTCTCCCATAAATGAGAAAATGCCCTAAAAAGTGTGTCAGTATTAGGACAAAATGACACATACATTTTTCTGAGGTCATCGCGCGATTCCAGCGGCAACGGGCCATCCTGGCACCCCTCCAAGCCTTCGTCATGCATAGCTTCCTGTCACTAAGCGGAAAGACCTAACCAAATACCTACAGAAGAACTTAAATAACAACCAATTTATTTGATCGTCTTGGAAAATTTTTATTCGTACGAGGGAATCTATGAATAAATGACCATCCCGCCACGGTCACCAAATACCTGCAGCCGAATTTAAATAACAATCAATTTATTTGATCTTCTTGGAAAATTTTTCTTCGTACGTGTAAATCGATGAATAAATGACTGCCACAGTCAGCTTGTACTATAAACCTACGGGAAATTAGACACTAGGAATTATGATACAAAATGATCGGAAGGTGCGTTAATTAATGCATTCTAGAACAGATTGAGAAGAACATCAGGCTCTGAATATTAAGATGATTCGATATTTTTTAGTGTCGCATGTTGTCGGCAAGCCCTAATAATATTTTTGCTGGTAAAATATTTTAAACTTAATTGAATTTGCCTTGATCAAAATTTGTGGTTACTTTTGCATGGAAAATACTCTCAACTCATGGGTTTCACCTGAAAAATAATTTCATCTCAAAAGGTGCATCTGAAAATTACTTTCATCTCAATACTTTTACCTCGAAAAGACTTTCTGCTCAATATTTTCGCCTGGCAAATACATTACCTTAATACATTTGTCTGAAAAATACGTTCACCTCTATATTTTACAATTTTATTTAACTTAATCAACACAGAAGTGTCTAAGCCAGCTGGATGGCAGGTGTTATCAACACAGAAGTGTCAAAGCCAGCTGGATGGCAGGTGTTATCAACACAGAAGTGTCTAAGCCGATGGTAAAGTGGATAGCTAACCTCTGATGAATCACCGGCTTGTGAAAGGTTCATCAACTTGTAACTCAAATGAAATCAACTTTTTTTTACTTTTGCTATTCAAATCAACTCATTAATTTGTATTAATTTGTATTAGCAAACCGTGAGTTAAGCTATAGGAACACATATTCGGGTTCAGTGATTCACATGCACCTTAAAATAAATTAATTTTCAGGTTGACTTATTGTAGCTGGTAAAAAATATAGAATTTTCATGTATACCTTGAATTAATTCACATATAATAGAATATAGAAGAAATATAAAAATGTTATATACCTTGAATCGTATTTTCATATATACATTGAATTAATACACATAATATAGAATATAGAATAAATATGAAAATGTTATATACCTTGAATT